TAAACTTAACTATACCATCAAAATTCAAATCTTTTGAACGGAAAAAGTGTTATATATATATGTCAACAAGAGACTGGTCCATTATAGTTCTAAACAACAATAGGAAGATATAAGGAAACAACACCAAGTCAATTTAATACATATTAGTTTACTGTGTTTTATGTGGTGGGAATAACGAATGCAGTCAGTTGATGTTTATTACAAATATGAGCTATTAATTAGTGAATTTAATTAAATATTGTTCATACTTTTGTACATTTTCCCTCATCTATGCAACATTCAATCACATTTCTGAAGCACATGAGTTTATGGACGGTCACAAAGAAAAGCGGTTTCTCACTTTTAAATATAAACTGTAGAGACATTTTTATGTAATGAAGTGAGCACTAGCTTATGTGAAACTAAAATACAGAACTCAATCACAATAAGACAAAATCCTACATCTATTTGTCTCAACATTCCTGCTTCATACTTCATTCCTCTTTTTTGAAGTACCACTGAATGTTTACAGCCATTATTTATAATCTAACTGATGTTGATAAGGTCATTTTATTCAGTTTTAACAATCAAAATAGAAAAAGGAATAATTAAAACAATACTATTAAACGAAGAATTAGGCGAGACTATAAGTTATGGACGAACCAATCAGATATTAGATAACAAGTCTAGGATTTTGGCGCGAAATTCACTCATCTATATGGATAAATAGAGCTTTGGCATTATAGTTGATATCAGTTCGTGATGAAAACCCTAAATCTAATTTGTAACCTTAATCATCAACTGTAAATCATCATTCGAATTCATCATACTAATTTATAACCTTCATTTAATCCTGGTTATCATGTGAACACATTTAAGGTCAGTCTAACCTCGTTTAAATGTCGTCCATAAATTATAATCTCACCGATTTCTGTATTGAACTCTATCGTTTTGTAACACTTTCAAAGAATATAACTAATTTTTTCTGGTATTACACGTATCCTAGACAACATAAATGTACTTAAACTGATGTCTTTTAGAACAACAACAACACCAACAAATCAACAACAGTTTTCTCGATTATACACCATTTTAGTATTCATTGTTTATACTTAAATGTCAAATTAGGAAGAAGAAAAAAAAAGAAGAACAACTGAATGTCATAATTCCTTTTTTGTTTGTTTTAAAATGTCAAATAATTTAAAAATGTCAACATTTTTATATTGAATGAACAGTAGCTTAAAATTTTTGTATATGGTTATGCATATGTAAGTAGTTATATACTACTGAAATAGAAATTTATTGAATAGAATTTTATAGAACTAAAAATAGAAATACAAAAAAAAGATTGCAGTTTCCATTCGCTACAAAATACAAACTAAAAAAAAACAAAAAAAATCGAAAAAACAAAAAAACAAAAAAAATCGAAAAAAAACCAAAAAAATAGTGTAGTTTTTCGTGACAATCCAGTAATAATGACATTGAACATATTGAAAATGTATACAAATGAATATTTATTGTCATTGAAGGAATGACCATGACATAAAATAAAGATTATTTTATATCATTAAAAGTAAAGTTAATCAAATTATGGAATATCACCTAGTTACTACTAGAAATATTATTGATAAAACATTATTTTATAGTGAAAAAAATATTCAGTTTTTTTTGTTTGTCTGTTTTGAAATGTATGACATTTGAAATAATAGTTTTTTTTTTAAAAAAAAGAGTGAATTGTCTATATGTTAAAACAACAACAAAAAAGAGTTAGTCAAAGGGTTGACAACATAAATCACAATTCGTACTTGAGATAAATATCAATATATATATATATATATTATTCAACGGTTTAATAGGTTGGAATACACCAAATTTCAGAAAAAGATTTGGGGATATTATAGTGATTTTAGTAGTTGAACTTATGAGTCAACTGAAGTTAGACCATTATGGAAAACCTAAAAGCACTGAACGGCCAACTCATTCTGCTGTGAGACTCCTCGGTAGTGCGTATTCACGATCTAGAGGCCTAGGGGTTGGTAGTTCGCGCGTGAGACCGAAGTCCCTGGTTCCGAGTCTTGTGAGGCAAGGTCGTGGATGCGCATTAGTGAGGAGTCCCATACTAGGATGAAACAGGTATTCAGTGCTTTCAAGTTTTTCATGATGGTCTAACATCAATCGGTTCATGATTTCAATCAAAAAATTAATAATCTCTACAACACTATATTGAAAATCATTTAGAAAGGGAGAAGTGCATCCTAAATATTTTGGTGTTTATGAGCAGTCCTACCAGAAGACTCTGAATTTTATCAGTGTCTTTACCAAACAAAACATTATCATCTGCGTATTCTAACTCCATAAGTTAAACATGGTTAAACATGGAAAAATCATTCAGCATATGTGTATAAACTTCATATACCATTGTCATAAACTTATATGTAAATCAATGAAGAACACATTTTTTGTGGATATTATAGTAATTTCAATGGTTGAGATCATGATTCAATTGAAGCTAGATCACCATGGAAAATCCGAAAGCACTGGACGTCCACTTTGTCCTGTAGTAAGACTCCTCAGCAGTGCTCATCCACGATCTCGCATCGCGAGATTCGAACGCTGAACCTATTGGCCTCGCACGAGAACACTTAATCATTAGACCACTGAGCCGGTCAACATCAAACGGTGTTAATATCTAACTTCAACTAATCTACGAAATTCAGTGACACACCCATCATTGTGTTCAGTGAGTTAATATTTCACAACAGACCCAGTTGAACTCCACTGGTCATTACTTCTCAGTGCTTTCAGGTTTTCTATGCTGGTTTAACATAAATTGACTCATGATCGCAACCGTTAAAAATAAACCGAATTGTGAGCATTGTATTGTATTAAAGAATGTGTATTTTAGTGTGTTTATTGAAAATCAGTTTGTTAGTTTAAATTCATTTGCTATTGTTTTATTTGAATCTTCCCATTAATGTTTAGGACTGTAATTGATCATTCTTTTATTGTTATATGTGCATTCTGTGTGTATTGCTTCGATAGTGCTTCAATTCACAAGTATTATAAGCAAAGATGAATCGTGACTAGTAGTGGATATCAGGACTCAGAAGCTAGATGGATAACCCGGATATCAACTCTGAGATGCAGTTACATCCATGTAATGTGTCCGAAATAGGACGAAACGATCCTCCTGGGCTCCATTGGTGGTCACTATCCATCTTTGCTTATAAAGTCTGTGAGTTTGGTAGTAAATATAAAATTTACGAAGTTGGATTTATGTATTCAATAAATTTTCGATAAATAACCTATTTTTCTACCAACAAATATTAACTGATGAGTTGTGTGTTATTACTAGGGAGTACCGGATAGTTATTTAGTTTTGGATTCATACTTGATGACTTATATATCACAATGATCAAGCTATTCTAGACTTTTAAGTCAAATTGAGAAAATGGTATCGTGAATAGGAACGAATCTAAGTACATGAATGATAATTAATGTATAGTTAAAATCTCAATGTTTTCACTATGAACTAAATCCCCGACTTCATAAAATTTCAATTTGAATGTAACATCTATTAGATTAATTAATTACTCATATGTAATGTGAAATTATAAGATTCGCTATCAGAATAATTATGGGTCAGATAGGGTGAGAGAAATAATAGTACAATTACAAATTCGACGTTATATTCGAGTATACAAAGTCGCATGATAGACTACATCCATATGGAGAAGTAATACAAGTATTATTACTGGAAATGTATATATAACTTGGTCATGAATTACTGTAGTTCAAAAGAATACAAGACGCATTTTGTCTTCTTGAAATATTTATCTATCAATTCAACTGCTTCTGTGGAGCAAGTTATATTGGCAGTTATTCTAGGAATTTGTACATTCAGGCTCGTGAGCACCTCTCAGTGTGGTTAACCAAAGATGTAGTCAAAACGCTTAACAACTCCATTTTAACCCGTTTAATTGATATACAGCCAATATGGAGCAATCTTTCACAAAAATATTTATCTTTCTACTTAATCTCAATTCATCGAACAGGATGATCTAAACAGACAACCCGAACTCTATTATAATAAAACTATGTTTATTGACGAATTATGTACTTTACAAAATAGATTATAATGTTTTCCCCCTGATATTTATACTACTTATTGAATTGTGAAAATTAATTTAAAGAGAGCAAGAACAAAGGTTGATGCAGAATAATAAATGGATTCATTTGATTTCGTTAGGTTCTCATCAGCTGCTTACAACCTAAAATATTTGAAATTCAACATGATTATAGATATTGACATACTTATACAACAGAGGGCGATGAAGGATGAATACATGTGTATCATGGTGTAGCGGAGATTTCGTTAGAGTTAATGAGGTCATAAAATTTTTTGTTTCGAATATATAGAGTTTGGGAGGGAAGGTTTCAGAAAATTGAAATAGTGATTAGAAATCATGGAATTAAAACACATTAGACGATTATGTAATGAAGTAACTAAAGATAGATTTATGGTAATAGAGATATGAATTGAAATTGGTCAGTTATGAATGATGTAATTTTAGAAATCCAGAAAGATTTGGAATAATGAATGACGTAATAAATAAATAAATAAATAAGGGGGGGGTAGTGTTACTAGGGCAAAGAAAGATTTATTACTGTTTCTTTTTGTATACAAAGATCTGGTTTTAAACGTTTGATTGCTATCGCTTCGGCAAATTTCTAAAGGTTTGAATTTGATTGTTTGTTGATCACCTTGAAGGACTTCAGTATATCGACTTCGTGTCCTGTGTCAAGGAGATGTCTTGCGATAGATAGATAGATATCATTATTACGTAATTCAATATTACTTAAAATTAATTTTAGTAACTAAACCGAATTTTTCTAATATTTTATTTCAGTCTTAAAAAAATGTCTATCCATTAAGTAATCTGAACACCACACACACACACACACACACACACAAAGAGGGAGAAAGAGGTTATTGCAAATAATCCACTTTCAACTATATAATGCAACTATCAATTGGGATTGATTTTTATCAATATATTTATATCTTATTTATCATAACCATTCTATATACAATCCATTCAAATCAATTAATGTATAATATAAATGCTCAAACTACACGTATTATACGTATTAAAGAGAATACACCAATTGGTACTGTAATTATACCAAATATAATTGATTTTTTATATGGACCAAATTATTCACCAATGGAATATTATGAACAAAAAAATAAAAAAAAAGAGAAAAATATTGATTATTTATTAGCTATTGGTAATTCAGTAATGCAAGGTGCTAATTGGTTTGCTATAGATAATTTCAAATATAGTTTATATATAAAAATATCACCAGATCGTGATCTATTATGTCCAAATAATCAAAAATTACCAGAAACAGCTGTATCTATTGCAAATGGTGGAATTGAATTTCCAGAATATAATTTAAATCTTGGATCCAATTATAATTTACAAATTAATAGTAATAATAATAATATGAATATGAATATGAATAGTAATATTGATAATAATGATTGTATCATAAAATTATCAATTATACATGGTTCATCAGCAAATCCATCATTTGATTTTATTACAATCATTTTAGAAGATATAAATGATCATGCACCAAGTTTTAAAGAGATTCAAACTAATTTAGATAGTAAAACAAATGAATTTGTTATTAGTGTACCAGAAACACCAACTTTATTGGATAAAAAAGATGATATATCAAGTATGAAGCATAGAACTGAACATAAACCAATAAGAATTCTATTACCAACAGCTATAGATCCAGATCAAGGTGTAAATAGTATTAAAGGTTATAGATTAGAAGGTGAAGATGCTTTTCATTTTCGACTTGAAGTAGGTCCTTTAATAAATAATGATTTAAATTATCGAATTCATAAAGAATTTCAACATGTTGGATTATTTCAAGATCATAAATCCAATCGATTATGGTTAGTACCAGTTAGAAATACTGGTGGAACAACAGAAACTATAAATAATGGTGAATTAGATAAAGAACAACGAAGTGAATATCATTTTATTTTAGTTGCTTATGATGGTGGTTCACCATCAAGAATAGGTAAACTTCCTATTCGATTAATGATTGAAGATATTAATGATCATTCACCAGAATTTAATCAAGAATTTTATACCGGAAAAATATCAGAAAATGATCCTGGTGGTCATATGATATTTGAATTTTCTGCAAGAGATAGAGATAATACAAAAGAGAATGGTATCATAAAATTTCGTATCCCTGGTCAAATGGATCATAATACAAATCAAAATGAAATTGCCGGTCAAAGAGATAGAATTAGTTTAACCGATAGTCAATTAATTGCTGCAGAATTATTTTCTATAGAATATCCATATGAGAAATCAAATGATTTATTAAATATACAAGAAAATTTCTATAATAGTACTGTTTATGGTCGACTTATTATTAAACGTCAATCCAAAGAAAAAATTCAACAAGCTACATCGAAAGCTATTTCAATCGCTCGACATAATCAAATGATTATCGGATCAAAATTAGGATCTAATTTCCCATTAAATCATCAATTAAATAATCATAATAATCATAATGAATTATTATCTAATAATGATCAATTACATTTCTTTATAGAAGCATATGATAATGGTATAACTCCATTAGTAACTAAAGCACCAGTCATTATTCATATTATTGATGTAAATGATCATCCACCAGAAATATTTATATCCTATCTTAAACCTACACAATCTACAATGAATCAATTAAATGTATATAATACAGATAGACGACATATATGGGGTAAAATAACTGAAAATTTAGAAAGATCAATCATAGCACAAATCACTGTGATTGATCAAGATTCAACATTAACACAATCCGATATTATATGTAAAACAAATGATAGTCGATTTTTATTAGAAGAAATCAATAATCATTTAGATCGATTTAATGATTTTTCATTATATTGGCCTAGTAACAATTTATATAATAATAATAATAATAATAATAATAATAATAATATTGATTTAAAATCTCATTTCATTGAATGGAATAATCATAATAAACCATTAACAAAAATATATAAATTAATGTCAATCTCTTCATTAGATAGAGAATTTAGTGATATACAACCATCATTTATAAAATTTTCAATTATTTGTATTGATAATCAACATAATGAATTACCAGGTGGTTCATTAACATCACAAGCGGATATATTACTTGAAATAGAAGATATAAATGATAATTCACCTATATTTGATCATAATGAATATACATTTCATTTACCGGAAAATTATCCAAAAATAAAATTAGAACATAGTATTCATTCATCTGAAATTGAACGTTATCCTATTGGGATAGTACATGCAACTGATAAAGATGGTGGAATTCATGGAAATGTTAATTATAAATTAGTTTCTAATCCAAGTGGTTCAATACAGATAGATAAATTTAGTGGAATGCTTTATGCTATTCAACCATTTGATCGTGAAACTATAAATGAATTAGTATTTCAGGTATATGCAATAGATTGTACATTATCAAATGGAACTAATGATCGACAATGTGATGAGTCATTGAGATTAACAGGGACTGCTAATGTTCGTATAATTATTGACGATTTGAATGATTCTCCTCCAATTTTTCAAGAAGCCAATTATCACTTTGAAGTTGAAGAGGGATTAGATCTTGTTAAAGTTGGACAAGTATGGGCTGTTGATGCTGATCAAGAAGAAGCTGCACGTATTTCCTATCGTCTAGCAGTTGGAATTAATAATCGAATTAAAGAACCAATAAATGATGGAAATTTTGCAGAACAAGTTACAAAATCCTCCAACAATCAGAATCTTTACGATGAAGCACTTGAGATTACCACTCATTTCCAAATTGATCCAAGAAGTGGGATTATTCACCTAAAGGGAAGGCTAGATCGTGAAAGACGTGCACACTATGAATTTGTGGTTCTAGCTTTGGATAACCCTAGGTCCATACCGACAAAAATAGCTGGATACCAAAGACAAACAACAAATGAAGTCATTCAGTTCACAGCAACGGCAACAGTTCTAATAACTGTGTTAGACCACAATGATAATCCACCTAGAATACTCAGTCCATTGAATCATGTAGAATTTATGCTAAGCCCAGATCAGCTAATCGCTGGAAATACGATATTTACAATACGTGCGACCGATCCAGATTTAGGTGAAAATGGTACGATTGAATACAAATTACTTCAGGTGGAAGATGACCTAGGTTCATGGAATTTCGCAGAATCTGTTCAAAGGAATAGTCAAGTAAATCATAGAAATACTACAGATACGAATTCACAAATGAACCAAGAAAGTAAATCTTCGAATGTTGACTATCCGTTTGCTGTAGATCGAACTGCAGGCATTTGTTATCTTCGCGAGAATCTACCACCGTTAAATGTTGATGGTCCTAGAGCTTATATGCTACGTATATTAGCCTATGATTTAGGAAAACCGGATAGTTTAAACACAACTCTAGTTATTCGTGTGGCTCGTCAAGTAGGATCAAATGGAGATATCTCAAATGGAATATTATACTCAAATAGAATTAATGCTAAAGAATATCGACAGACTGGGAGAACAGAAACACAACAATATTTATTCCCATCAAACGAGCATGATTCTGAATCCGATGTTAAAGTTGGAACATGGACATCAGCAGGGCATGCAAGAATATCCGATAAAACAATGGTTGTTATTTTATCAACTGTATTTGTTTTACTATTGCTTACAACAATTGTTCTCCTACTACTTGTACGCTATAGACGTCTATTAATACGAAATATTCCATTAGAACAAAGTTTAGCATGTGATGGTCCTGATTCAAAAGCAAACGAAGGTTTTGCTGTGGGTAAGCTCAATTAATTTATTAAATTTATCTTAACTAATATGTAGCAACTTTGTGAGTGTTGGTCGCATAAAAAAATCACGTTCCATTATTTTTGTCAGTATAGTGTTGTGGAGATAGTTAAGTTTCATCGTCATATATATATATATATATATATATATATATATATATATATATATATATATATATATATTGATCTCCCAAGCTCATAATAGTTAAATAACTAAGGGATATATTTGTCAGACCTAGACCCAAAACACATTACAGTATAGTTGATTGATCACTTAGTGGCAACCACTGTCATGTTTGATCAGTCTTAGTGGTTGAATATAGTTTTCAGGAAGCTACGGACCTATGTTAGTTGAAAACAATTATATTAAGCTAAGTCATGTATAAGATAATTATTTTACTCACCATGAACATGTGAGGCATTGTCTTTTCAGTTACAACTGATTATATGTACCATTTTTCACTTATATCCACATCAGTCAGGAAAACAGGCATAGCTTTTACTCTCCAATAGTACACAGGACTAATTCTTATGTTAGGTGTCTGCCAAGTAAATAACTCAATAAGGACATTAGGTGGGTGATGCCAGTTTATTTATCTGACTCTAATAGGTTTTTCAAAAATGTTGCTTTTTAATATTAGTTCGCCCAACAAACACACAAACATTAACCATAAGACCATAATGTATACAAGACTTTTCTTTAAAATAATCCCAACTTGCAGTAATACACTTGTCTTACGATCGTTTGCATTGTTATGAACAACACGGAAAGCCGCCTTGAGGTGAGGCCTATCAGCTGCATCGTCGTTTTCAAAATAAAATGTATTGGTGAAGGAATATAAACAAACTGTGTTTTTTCAAACTCATTTCCAAAGCAGTTACCTGAAAATGAATCAGCAAATGATAATCATAGGATGATTCACATGTTCTATCTTTTGGTGAGCAATGAAGGTTAACAGTTACCTTGAAATTACATAATTTTTAATGTTTTCATGGCCTTTAATTAAACGCTTGATTTATTCTAAAAGGAGTTATTTTCATGAACGGTTTTCAGTGCTTCATAGATTTCGTTTGTTTATTTGTTTTCGTAATTATCAACACTAGTACATTACTTCGTGTATTTATTGAACTGACGATGTGCAAATAAGTCATGATTTACGTTATAGAAAACTGTCGACAAATTCATTATTACGCTTCATTGGAAATCATAATCAGGGTAACATACATTTCTTAATTGCCTAAAATAATTAGAATATAGGGGTATATGGAGATTATCCAATTACCATAGTATGATAGCAGCTGAACCACAATAGAAAACTATGAAGCATTGAGCAGCTGTTTCGTCCTCGTACGAAACTCCACAAAAATGCCCATTCACAACTGAAGCGGGACATGAACCTGGGGTCGTCAGTCTGGCTCACAAACACTTAACCTTTAGACTACTAAGCTGGCATCTAACGGTGTATATGTCTCGATTCTTAGTATCGTGTGAATCGATCTTCCATTGTCTATGATAGGTAACTATCTCATACTTGAGATGGTGGAGAAGATTTGTATCTCAGGTGGATGCTTTTGGTGGAGTTTTGTTCTCTGAGCTGGATGGTTTGGCCGTGGAGCTTTCATCTTTCTTCTGAACGACATCATCAGCACAAACTTCACTTCTATCTGAAAGCTCCACGACCAAACCATCCAGCTCAGAAAACAAAACTCCACCACTATCTCATACTTGATATAGTTGAACTCCATTTGTCACGGCTTCTGACAGCCTTAAATGCTTCTTAATTTTCAATGTTGATCTATCTAATATGAATTCATGATTTAAACTACCTTCAAAATAAATTTTGAAATATTCTAGTTTAAATGTGTGAATTTATTAAATAATCAAATATTAGAAATGATCATAGTGACTACACGGTGCACTTAAAGTGTGCAAAAGGAACAATAAAATCACCTTAATAAAAAAAGTATTTGGTGGCTCGGGATCTGACTCCAAGTAGATCATATTAATGATTGCTGTTGAAATATATATGTCGCCTATCCTCGTATATAATTATCGACTTAAATCGCGTTAGTCAATAAAGGAATTATATAAGTCAAATACGAGGATGAATTTCGAATACGTATATTTCATACAATCTTTGATCCAGAAAAAATATCGGAGAAGTGAATGGAATAGAACGAAGCGAAACGACGCGCAGCGGAGATGCCGGGTAAGCCAACTACCATTTTAACCAGGCGTTAATCAATACTTAAAGTCACACAAAAATAAGCTACAGACATGTGATGAGTAATGGGATGAGAAATGTACATACACCTACGCGCTCATATAAAAACAGTCAAGATTGATAATTAACAAGATCAAAATGTGACTCAAGTAAAATGGATAGATTGGCTTGTCCGAAAGCTACAATAAGGCATATAGGCTAAACATAATAACCGACACTACAACTACTTGAATTTCATGTTCTTAACACAAAGTATCGGGTAAGAAAAGAAACCACAATATATTTGCCATTATTATGTAAGAAAAAAACGAACAAATCGCAAACCTTTATGATGAATTGAACGAAGAAAAAAGGGAAAAAACTGAAATAAAATGAAACAACTGAAATAGCCTGTAAAATGTAAGTGAATTTAAAAGGCAAACAAACGATACAGAAAAGAAAGGAAAGACGAGGAAAACTAAAAGAAGCGATTTTTTCTTAGGGTGATTGTTCAATCTGGAAGCTACATGTCGAAATTCTGGAATGTTCTTCCAAAAGATGATTGAATAGAATGACTTCGGTTCTTTCAGAGATTCTTGGAGCTTTCTTGAGTTCACCGGGATCTGTCCCTACATTTACCCTATATAGAATTATAATTTGACCATTAATAAGTATTACGTAGAGCTATCAGGGATTACAAACAAGCTGATAGTTATTTCTTTGTCATCTGAAATTTTCCATTAGTTTGGAATTACCAGAAACATTTTCCAATTTAATGGATTGTAGATATTGTACGCTGTAACTCTGTATATTAAGCAGTAGAATATTAATAAAATCTGATAGTTGAATTATTACTTGAGTTAGTATTATATAAGCTATCTCTTAATTACTAATCTCTCTTGGCTCTAATGAATAATAATTACTCGGTAGAAGCTTGAGTGGACCGTCTCTTGAAGCTCAGACATGAAACCAAGGTCATTTAAATTAAGACTATATGACAGCTTTAATGGACATAAGTACATTAACTAAATTCGAGTAGAAATGCTAATGTTAGCAACCGAATACAGAGGCGAATTAAAAGTCGAATAAAGAATCAAATGAAGATTTGAATCAGTTAATAAGATTCAAGCACATATTTATGAGAAAGTGAATGATTCATCAAGCTATTTAGGAAACTAACATTTAAACAGAAAAAAGGGATATATGCGTAGGTTGTCACGTATGATCAAGCCTACATGTTCATACTGAGCATGATAATAATAACAAGGTTTAGAATTGTTACTGTTCGAACAATACTGTCTGTTAAATAAGTTAATTGACTGGCTTGACAAAATTAAATGTAAACAAACTTAAGTGTAAGAGAGGTGAAATAAGGTTAATGTTTGACACTAAAATGAAACGAGTGAATGCTGTTTTCTATATTTTGCACTTTCAAACAATAACTGTACGTTTACCCATTCAACAGAACATTTGAAATTTTACCTGCTACCTCATAATATATCTTAATAGTTGAATTCATGATTCAGTGAGACTATAATTTATGGACGACCTTTGAGCGACGCTGAAGTGAACTTAGGAGTGGATACATACAGATTAGGATTAAATGAGAAATATGAAACAGTTAGAATTCTCATTTACAGTTGATGGTCAGGGTTAAAAATTAGATTTAAGGTCTTCGTCAAGAACTGACATCAGCTATAATGCAAAAACACTATTTAGCCAAATGTATGGATGAATTTCGAGCCGAAATTCGTGACTCCTTGTCTTATATCTGGTTGGTTCTTCCATAAATTATAGTCTCGCCCATGATTCAATCTAGGCCACCATGGGAAACCTGAAAGCACTGGACGGCCATTTCATCCTAGTGGGGGAATTCTCAGCAGTATACATCCACAATCCCGCACATGGGACACGAACCCGGGACCTTCAGTCTCATGAGCGAACGCTTAACCTCCAGACCACTGAACCAGCTGACATCCAACGGTGTTGATGTATAACTTCAATCGATCCATGATCTTGCTCAACCCTTCATTCACTGTCTGAGGTGGATAACTGTGTCACACTCTACATGGAATATATTCCACTGGTCACAGATTCTCACTAGAACTCCAGGAAATCCATCTTGAAACAAGTCACTAGTGAGCATGTGATGATTTTTGTCAGAATGAGGGTTTGTGGAGATTGCAGTAAACCCCCATTTTAATAATAATGTTACATTGATGATACAAACCTTATTACAGATAACATGCGTACGATAACAAAATGTTATATACTATTTAAAGAAGTTTAAATAAACTCAAAAACTAACCTCCTGATAACGTAAATATAATAATTAACTATTTTTTCGGTTGATGTTGTTTATAGGTCTCTTTAAATGAACAATATGTGAATGTCAAAACCGGTTTCATCACTAACTTGTATTCCATATCTTTCGACCCTAAGAAATAGTAATAAATTATTTATCGACCATTATTATATTTCCGAGCTGGATGTGTTCCCCTCATTTAGACGTTTTAGTTTAGCAAATCAACACTCATAAATGAAATGATGGTTAGTGTATATTATAAAAATGTGAGATAGCTCACTTTTAGTCATTCTAAGGTTAGCATCAACTTAACAAAAAAGATGTAGACAGTTAAAATTTAAAATCTTAATAGAATAACTCGATTACTAGTGTGATTAATATTTGTAACAAACCTACTTCACTTTTCCGGTCCCCACTACTCAATGTAAACAACACACTATCAATGATCAAATCAATATACCAGTAACCAAATTTTATGTAAAAATCAATTAAAGCAACAATAGTTATATCCACTTTTAACTTCAGTTGATTATTTAGTGGCTCGAGATTTCATTCGCAATTAGACGACTGAAATGACTAGGTTATGAACATAAATCTTTTACTTCATCTCATATATTACACTTAGACGGTGTTAATAAAACGATAAATATGGATTAGGTTGGTTGAGCTTATTTCATACACTTGTTTACTTGGACAGATATTAAGGTGAAGAGCGGGAAAGCGGAGCGGAGAAGGCAAATGTACCTAGCCCATTTGACAAAACATGACTTATTATTGTAGTCAGATAGAAAGTAAGCTAAATAGATGTAATGAATGGTGTAATTGGTACACACATATACGCTCACGCAAAAGCAGTCAAGGTTATAAGAGAATGATTGACAAGGCCAAACTATGTGGATAATAGCTCATGAAGAATAAATTAACTAGTCTGTCTAAAAGTTAGAATAACTCGTGTAGGCATGACATTGTTATGTTAACTTATCATTTAGTTTAGATAACTTTAACAAAGACAAGAAAAGTAGTTACGTAAGAATCAAGAGATGAAGGTTGAGAAGTTATAAAGTTCAAAGGCAACAGAAACAAAATTACAAAAAAAAAAAAACAAGTGGAAGAAGTACGAAAAATAGTTCTTTGAAGAAAATCTTATACCGATGGCCAGGGCAGCGAAAGTGGTTGTACAAATCTCTTTTGAATGCAAAGATTAGGTTTGTGAACATGAATTGCGATGGCTTACACAATGTGCAAAAGGCGCACTCGTAAACCATGTGGTAAATTTGATGGGATATTGTAGATAACCTTGAAGGCTTTATCCAATTCAACTTGATGACCTGTGTCAATCAGGTGAGAGAGAATAGAACTTCTAATCACTTTTACTTGTCCTTTGCTTGACCATGACGATAATATTCTGTAATACGATGACGAACTTGCCGAATTGTACGCCCTATATAACTAGCTCCACAGGAGCAGTCGAACCGATAGATACACATGGCTTTGGCGAATTCAGGTAGTCTGTCTTTATTGGCCGTCCTTATTTTTGGGTGGTTGTAGAAGATGGCATTTAATCTGTTTTTTGTACAGCTGTACTTAGTTTCTGAGTCACAATTTCCTCAGTGGTGTCATTCATGAATTGTAATTTTATGAACAGTACCTTCTTAGGGACGGTGGGTATCTTTATCCTTGTGTTTCTTCTCTATTTATATGACTAGACAATAAATCCATTTTAGAACTAATATTATTGTTACGATGTTAATAGTTGTTATAGTGCTTTATTAGAAACGTTTCTAAAATGATAAAACTTATAAATCTGATCAAATAATGGGAAAGATCCAATTAAAAGTATCATTTTCATTATTGATTCATGAAAACCATGCACATTATATTTAATCATTGTTAAATAACTAATCTCATTGACAATTATCAACTTTGTATTCAGAAAAATGTAATTTTCCTCCTCCCCTCCCCCCTCTCATCCATATTTAATTACTTGAAATAGGATCTATGGGAAATATAGGTTAGATTTTAAGGGAAAATCCAGTACATTCAAATACATATAATTACCAATACTGTTTACAAAATATCATAAATGACAGCAAACAATTTTACAATTTGTATACAGATCATTATTTTCACTCCCACAATAAATTAGTTGGGAATTGTTTCTTTGTATAAACAAGGATATATTCACATTGATCTATGTATAGTGTGTTCTTTATGTCCTATAATAGTTACAATAAATTACCAAACGTTGTTGTTGTTGGGTTGTTTTTTTGTTTGTGGGAAACTGATGGATAACAACTTGATCCCTTGAAAAATTGTAACAAATCAAGAACACCTAAGTTTGAAGAATAAAATAAGATTAGTCTGTTTTTTTAGGCTTCTTATCAGTTATAGATAGCCTCAAATTAATGTCATACAATAGGACGAAATGGCCGTCGAGTACTTCCAGGTTTTCCATGGTGATCTAGCTTCAATCGACTCATAATCTCAACTATTAAATTACTATAATGTCCACAAAAAACCCCTTTCTGATATTCAGTCGTTAGTCAGTCAGCTACAACGTAGGACCAAGCACATATATGCATCGGTCCAAGTTGCCATACCTCATTAACACAACAAGATGGACACCGGATTCATAAAAGTAGTTAATTCAGAGGTGGTAATATATAAAAAATTGCAATAAGGATATAGTATGCGAAGAAAGAATTAGTTTGTAGAAAGAAAGTTATGAAGCGATTTTAATCTCTTAGTTTAAGGGAAGACAGATAGTGTATACAGCTACGACATTGTGATCGATTCTGAGCCATGTCACCAAGAGTCCTCAACCATTGGTTATGATAGTCACGCGGACCCCAACCAAGTAGTCTGCATCTAACAACATGGCTCAGACTAGAAGTTAGTGACTTCAAGCACTGATGCCACATTTTGGTTTGGCCGCCCCTAACTTTCTTCCAACCATCCCCAACACTAGCCAGCATTGCGCGTCATGGTAATCGGTGTTCATGTATAGGTAACATGTGGCTCAACCATCTCAGTCGATGAAAATTCACAATCTCATCATCTGACTTATAATCATTCCCTAATACCCTGCGTCTAACCTCACTATTACTTGCCCGATGGTCCCAGCAGACGTAGGCAATATTTCTAAGACATCTGTGGTCAAATACTAGTAGTTTACGAATATCTTCTACTCTGGTATCAATGTAATATAATTAAAAAAACAAAAGTTTGTCATAATCTCATGAATAAAGTTAAGATGGATGTTCAAAATAGAACCAAAAATCGTAATAAGAAGAACAAGACGTATAATATTTGACTAAGCACAATTAAGACTGACGTGTATAAAAAGTACGTGAATAAAAGTACGGTATTCTAAGAGTGTTTGGGCATATACATTTTATTATTTAAAATAAATGAACCATTGTAATGATGGTTACGAAGTATGTAACTCAAAAGTCCTTGAGAATTGTAAGTTTGTTTGCGAAGCTGTTCTGAGAAGGAGAAATTGTAGAAATATTTAAATCAAAAGTTCATCATTGTAGAGAACTTAGATAACGCCTTACTATTTATAATGAAGTCTAAGTTAAGAAAAGGACCATAAAAGTAAATCCCTTCATAATTCATCCCGAATTCCTATCTTTTTCCCCTGTTAACAGGTAAACCATTGAGTCCAACTCAAAATAATTTGAATGGTTTCAATGGATTCTTCACTGAGGTAAGTTTGTAACTTGCAATTTTTGTATATTGTCAACAATGTTTTCTTTTCGAAAAATTAATAGTTCGTCTATGTTCTCATTTCTTAATTAAAAAAAGATTCAAGTTCATGAATTTCATATAACTAATGAGGTTATTTGAAAATACTATTCAATAATACACTGCCCCGGTAATAATGACAATGATAGTAATACAAGTGATTCAACATCATTTGGATAATTTTGTTTGAATTATGAAATGCTTAGAATAAAGTCAGTTAATATAAAACAAGAGACAGTCTCAATTAATCACTTTCATATAATTTGAAGCAATTAGATTAGTTTATAAACAGGAAAGTTTGGTGGTTAGATGGAGAGTGGCTAGCAGTGGAAATAAGGACGCGCGTTTTATCCTAACTTGAGACTCGTCAGCTGAATGTGCTCAAATAGGATGAAACGTTCATCTAGGATTCCGATGCTAGCCATCATCCATTTCTGTCTAGAACGCTTGGGATGTATTGACAATATCGAGGCAGTTCTCATGGGATACACACGTGTCAAAAAGAGACTAATCGATTGCAGTCCTAAACATCAATGGGAAGAGTCAGATAATCAATACAAATGAATTACATTAGTTAGTCAGAATGGGATCTCAAAAATGTCAAAGCTGTTCCAAATGTTGACAATAGTGAAATTACTTACTTACTTACGCCTGTTACAATAGTAAAATAATGTAAACTATTTAACTTTGTATCACTTCCGTTGACTAATCACGTTAGTAAAACGTTGAAATAAATAGTCACTTATGAGTTGAATTTTAGATATATATGTATTTCAGAAACTTGGATGAGAGGACAAAATGAATGAGTGAATATGAAAAGGGAATAGATGTAGACAGAAGGAGCTGTAAAAGCTTAATTAATAATAGGTAACTTATTCTTTAAACAAAGTAAATAGTATGGGAATTATAAATAACTAATTAGACTGTAAATGTTAAGAACACACTCAGTGAGCACAGCTAAAATATCTTTGAAGTTAGTAGTGAATAATCAATAGTAGAACATGTATGAAAATAGGTAAAGAATAGTGTAGATAAACAGTTATAGACATCCATTCATATAACATAAATAATAAATAACTTCAATCGGTTTATGATCTCAATCAAAAACTTAATAATCTCCGCAACCGCTATACTGGTAATTAACATGTACTCACTAGTGACTAGCTTCGTGAGGGAGTTCTATGAGTTCTTGTGAGAAGCATTGACCAGTGGAGCTAATACGTGTCGGGTGGAGATAGGTATCTACCACAGTACAATCGAAGATGGTCGCGTAATTTCATGGATTGGTTGATGTTAGACATTAACACCATTGGATACAGGCTCAGTGGTCCAGTAGGTTAAGCGTTCTCGTGTGAGACTGAAGGCCCTGAGTTCGAACCTGGAGAGCGGGATCGTGTATGCGCACTGCTGAGGAGTCCCATACTAGGACGAAACGGCTGTCCAGTGCTTCCAGGTTTCCAATGGTGGCCTAACATCAACCGGTTCATGGTCTCAATCAAAAACGTAATAATCTCCACAACCCCTATACTAATAAATTTATAATCAGACATGAAACGGTTAGAAATGGATCACACCATAATATGTACTAGTCTGTCATATTAATTCATGATCGAATTGAAAATTTAACTAGGTATTTAACATTCAAGTTTAATATCAGATGGGTTTTGTGGAGAATGTAGTAATTTCGATGGTTAAGACCATGAGTCAGTTTTCCATGGTGGTCTAGCTTCAACTGGCTCATGATCTTATCCATTGAAATACAAGTTTAAATAAATCCTTATAAAATAAGCTACCATGGTTCCATTGAATGATTCAATATGCACTTCGTAGTAATTACTATGGTGACTAAACCACATTAATCAATATTAAATATGATCACTTCAGCAGAACCATAAATCTTACTGAGCTGTATAGCTATTAATAGTCAAAAATTGATCTACGACAGTAAATTGTTATTATTTGTTAATAATACAATTTCAGTCAATATAAAGAAGTACAACTAGAAAATGTTTGAACAAACGATCATTTAGACTATGCCCCATTATGAATTTGTACATGAAGTACTGCTGGCTAACACTCTCAAATGTTTCTGTCTAACCATACTACTTTCTTTTATAAATAAATGATCAACTAACAATTGAAATAGATACAAACACTGACTCATAAGAATGGTTCATTTTAGACTATACAAATAAGACCATAATTCATCTGAAATACCAAGATATTCATATTTCAAGTGAATAAACATTATGGTTAAAAAACTGATATTTCCTTCTTGTTTGTTAAATTAAAGGATTACAGTCACTAGAGATAAAATAGTTACAAATTAGTGTAAATTCGTATTTACTATTCATTAGATATAAGGGGTTAGTGTTTTTTTAGCAAGGTTGTTTTCTACAGGATAGGGATGCTGATCTCACACCTAACCCTCCTCCCTTGTTTGGGCTTTGGATCGTCAGTAGCCCTAGAACAGCTACAGGCGGAGAATTACTACAAGCATCATCAAAAAAGTACAAATATCTGTAAACACTTGTTTACACAAGATATTTAATGTCCGTTGATTAGATACCATCAGCAACACCATTCTGTAAGAGAGAACAAACCAACTTCAATTTGAAGAGGGAGTTAGGAAAAGACGATCGAGATGAATAGGACACACATTGAGGAAATCAACAAACTGCATCACGAAACAAGCACTAACTTGTTATCCTGAAGGGAAACGAAGAAGAAGAAGTCTAAAAAACCTACTGTGTCGAGAATTGGAAGCAGATATTAGAAGGATGAGTCACAACTGCAAACAACTGTAGATGATTTCTTAGAACAGAGTTGGATGTAGGAGCCTTGTGGACCGCCAATGCTCCTCGAGGAGAGGTAACAAGCGTGAGTAAGTAAGTAAGATATAAGGAGTATTCTCATAGTAATCAAATTTCTTCACTATGTGTCTAGGAAACACTGATTAAAACAGAAAGTTGACTGACTCTTTAAACAAGAATATATTTACGATTATTGTATTCTATGAGTTTAATTTGCAATAATTATGATATAAACTAATACTTCCTACATTATTCTACTTCATAAATGAAGGTTGTTACAGCTCCATGGGTTGGTGGTTCAACATCTCCAGTTGTTTACCCAACTCCATGTAACTATCCCACTATATACAATACAGGTGTTAACCGTTCAAGAGGTTGTATAGCAAATCCTAATGCTTGTTGGTCACCTACAACTACTTTATGTAAATCACCTATTTCTAATCATGAAAATCAACGAAAATGTATGCAAACACCAACTACAATGTATCATTCATCACCATCACATGGATTTAGAATATTACCAACATTTGGGGTTACTAGTAACTGTGTTGGAGTTGGAAATAATCGACAATTTGATTCCCCCGTTTCAAGTGTAAATCCATCATTCTCTGGACTACCTAATGGTTATATTCTTCAAAATTATAGTTTACGAGATGATGATGATGATGTTGATGATGATGAAGGTAATGGAATATTTCATGATATAACACCAAATAATGAAATAAATAATAAAACTATTAAAACTAATGATGAAAGACAAAATCTGAAAAATCCTAAATCGGAACAAATCTTTTCAAAATCATTAGCTAATAATCTTCATTGTCAAAATAAGTTACCTGAAACAGATATGATAAGATCATTTTCATCATTAAAACGAACAGCTATTAGTCTTGAAGAGATTAATGATTACAAAGATGAAACAAATTCTAAAAATTGTAAGTTTTATAAAAGAATTATTTTTTATTCTTAATCAAATTATAAGTTAAGTATTTCTATTGAATAGATTCAATTGAACTTTGAACATAATGATGATTAAAATTATTATAAGTCAGGGGAGTTCTACTCTGCTGTGGAAGTCCTATTCACTGCTTTCTCGTGGCGAGAGTGCTTTTTACGAAATTGAGAGGACGAAAAGCGAATATACGGCGCTTTAACTGGGTGGGTGGACACTGAGAGTCCACCTGGTGAAGTCGGAAAATTCTGATTCCAAACCAATGGTGCACATGAGCTCCAGTATCATGAAGGAAGCATTGGCATATGAACCAATTATTGGTCACCGTCTACCATGGGACTACATCTCCTAACGTTGCTCCACCGCCTTGTGGACTAGACCTTCTAGTCAAAAGCTCTGGGTATGACCCCTATGAAAATCAGCTGCTTCGGTTCGGGTACCCAGAGAGTATCCCAACCCCCACAGAAATCGAATGATTTATGTGGTGCATTTCTATTCAGTGCCTACTTGCACTGATGTTTATGTGTTTAACCAAATAAACAAATAAATAAAAACTTTAATAGCAAACACTGAGGGTTACAATGACGTTTTATATCTAAAAATTTGGAACTTTGTGTAATTTTAAATTTTTACAAACTTTGTTCTTAATAAACTTAAACAAAGGAGAATGTGGTTGTTTTATTGTTATAAAAAAATAGAGTTCTAAAGGCCGCAATACTTTTTGTGGAGTTTTGTTCTATTAGCTAAATTGTTTAGTCGTGGAGGTAACACTGTTGTCCTGAACAACATTATCAACACAAATTTCAAGGAGAAGTAAAGTGTTCAGGTTTTTCCACATATGACCCACAACTTGTCCTGTCCACATCGATCTTGTTTCATTATCGTTTACCTGTAACCTGTCATTGTCAACTTCTCTATTTCGATTATGTCACTATTTGATCTGATCATCGGTCTTACATTTGTCCATGATTTTTCGGAGTGGTTGATAAATTACGTCGATTTCGACGTGTTTGTTGATTGCTGATTGACCTGAATACCAAGCATCTAAAACATTCTCTGATGTTATTGGTATACACTTTATTCAATATTTTAACATTTTTCCAGTCGAATGTGTGTCCACGGTTATCTACATGGAGTGATATAAGCGAAGGTGTGTCATGGAGTTTGACCACTAATTGATGTTCGTGTAGACGAAGAGGAGGTGTGGGGGGGTCAACTTTGTTCGATATAGTGTTTTTCGTAAATCCACTCGAGCTTCAAATCTTCTCCACCTTTCCAATGCTTTGTTTTACTTTCCTGTTTGTAAATTATCCTTCGAAATTCGAAAAAAATATGTACATGGATTCTATTTGATGATGATAACAATACAAGTAATGATCAATGAAAGTGATTTGTAATACTGACTAATTTAATAAAGGCTTATAATTTTGCTTCACATAAGTAAAATAATTTCTCATCTTGTGTGGGATTCTTAAATAAAACAGTTGTTTTTCCTATAGAACGGCGTAGATATAGAACCATTGTCATCGGTTTCAGTGTATGAAGTGTTTCACCTATTTTATAACAATCTTAAACTTAAATCATATTAGTGGATTGTGTTCTGGAAAGTCACAATGAATTAGAATAATTTGACTATATATAGAATTTCCCATAGAATTTAGACTTTGCTTTCTAATTTATGGATACTATTGTCTACTACGAAATGAATCATTAAAGTACTTATTTGAGATATGATGTTTTTATTAACGGAGCATATTTTACCATATATTCTAGTATTTTTACTGTAATTCCGAAGAAATAACTGTCGTTTATCTAATTAACATCAAGAATGTTACTTACGATTGGTCAGAATCTTACTTATCAGTAATTCAGTATGCTGAAAACATTTTAATTACGTGAGTTTAAACAAACAACAAGAACCTTGAAACTGGCGCTAATACATGCATGCAATTGCTCGCATGGCTTATTATCAGCTGTGGTATTTCAACTTGTGACATCAATGTTTCACAGTAAGCAATAATGAACGCGTCATTCTTAGTTCTTTTGTGCAATTCAGTCAGATGTCTTTTTGGAAATCCGAAAGAAATTTCAAAAGTTTCGAAGTGGATATAGTTTGTAACGTTCATTTTTAGTCATCAAGGTGGGACGGGTTTCATGTATACACAATTATTAATGTATACCAATAAAACTTAATGAGTGAGCTTTCTTACAATTTATCAACCCATGAGTTTCCAACATATTATCATGATTTGAAAATGTTTAGCTTAATAAGTTTTACATAAAGATGGTAAACTTTCACTGACTTACATAAGACTATTTCAGAACTTTTTCTACTTTCCACAACTTGTCTCACTCACTTTATAAATATTTTGAAAATCAATTTCGATTTAATATAAATAGTTAAATAATGCCCATGCCGATTAAAATCCGTTTAGTAAAACTAATTCAAACACTTGTTATAATACAATGAAAACTTAATCATTCGTTTACGATACATGAATTGTGACTAGGATTGTAACCTAGGATGATTATTTCTTCATATTTGTGACTATTTAGTTATTGATTGAAACCATAAAACCGATTGAAAACCTGGAAGCATAGGAAGGCCGTTTCGTCTTATCATGGGACTCCTCAGAAGTGCGTACCCACGATTTCACTCTCAGGATTCGAACTCAGGGCCTTCAATCTCCCACGCGAAAGCTTAACTTATTGGACCACTGAGCCGGCCGGCATCCAATGGTGTTAGTGTCTAACATCAACCAATCCATGAAATTGTGCGACGATCTTCGATTGTACTAAGGTAGATACCTGTCTCTACCCGACACAGATTAGCTGCACTGGATGCACACTGCTAAGGAATCTCACAATAGGACGAAACGGCGGTCTAGTGCTTCCGGGTTTTCAATGGTGGTCTAACATCAATCGGTTCATGATCTTAATCAAAAACCTAATAATCTCCACAACTCTATACTGACTATTTAGTTCGATGTTCAGGTATCCTAATAAGTAATGTGCACATTCGGTCTTGAACTCAATACCTTTCTCTTAGAATACCAACTCCTTATCCACTAAGTTACTGAATCCAATAAACCACTAGGTCTCATACGTTCATAGCCGAAAAAATCAATTATTTGCTATGAAATAAATAATATACTGATTATAAACAGGTATTAAATGAATAGCTTAACAACCCTGGAATAGACAGAAAAGTGAATACTCCATTTGAATTTACTTTAAATACTTCAGTTAGCATTATTTATTATTGAACTATAAAGAAACCGCCAGTGAAACCAATCAAATTTATCCCAAATTTTGTATTTTAATTGAAACAATTTTTTTCTTAATGAATAAACAGAAAAAATATTCAATCCAAATGTCTTTGGTTAAACATGGGAAAAATGGTTACATTAAATGTTCAATTTTATTCATCATTTAATAATTACTTACTTATTTAAACTTGTTACCCCCCCCCCAATGGACTATTGGCCGCCAACCAACATTCTCCAACCCATTCTGTCCTAGGTTTTCCTCTCTCTTTTTTTAGTTCTATTCAATTGTTGTTTATTTTTCTCATCATTTTATAAGAAGATGAAACGAATCTCAGCATGGGTGTATAAACTTCAAATACCATTGTCATAAAATTATATGGAAATCAATGAAGAAAACATTTTACAGTTGTATGTATCTTTACAGAATAAATAATTAGCTTCATATATAATTCAAATATTACAGAAAAGAACTATTCATAGTAATTCTAATTATGGATTATATTCGTCGAATTGATCCTACGGTAATAAGTTGGTAGTAAACATAAACATTGGTACAAAAGGGGCACTGAATATATATGTGCCATACAATACCAATGAGGTTGTGGGGAGATAGAGAATGTAAAGTGTATATAATTAAAAAAAGAACAACAACGACAACGAACAGAAATTACTGTATGGCAGTGAAATAATAATAATGGGAAAAGCAGTTCAAATGGTAACAATATAACCCGAAAGAATTCTTTGAGTTATAGAAGTTACATTCATTTTTTTAATGAAGGACTTAAAAGAAAATTACAGCTGAATCACTAATGGCTTTTAGTTTGAACCATATCTGATTTTTATAATTTGTCGTTTGAATACTTATTGTCTTGGCTCTTTTGAGGCTACTTTTTGTATCTGGTCGTCACTGATTGTTATGTCGGAAATGCTTATCACTTATACTCGGAACGAGGGACCTCTGCAATTACCATGATGTGAAAGTAAGAACACAAAATCTCGTATAAGTGCAGATTTATTAAGCCAAAACACTATGACGACGACGACTCTAGTAGAAAATACACTCATTTATATATTTATTGCACACCCATTTTGATTCATAATTAGGATGAAATCAGATATATGAAAAATACTTAGAGTTATAACAAATCACATACAGAGCATAGTTCATGTCAACTGAATAGAAGAATATCGTATATTATACAGAATAAAATATCATAAGAGAGAAGAAAACTGAATACTACATTGAGTAATCATTACATTGAATCAAAGCGGAAGTAATCTTGAACAAAACTCATAATGAGTAAATCAATCGAAAATTGACTTCTCTTTCCATCATATCACTGATAACATCTCTAGCCATTGTGTTGCATCGTCTCTAGGGTTCTAACCAGGGAAGGAGCAACAGAAGATAGTCCTGTACAGATTTCTTTTATACCACGATAATATGTCATACATTGACTACCTCTCGGCTTTTTCCAACAGGTCCATGTGTCGATAAATAATGCACGGCTTGGAATTTTCTGAGACGACATTCATAGGACATGACCGAGTCTTCAGAGTCAACGTTTAAGGATGGTAACGACAAATGAGTTATCGTCACTGTTTCAGAACACACGATCCCGAACCCCTGCATTACTAACATGTTGATGTACATCTACAATGACTGTATTGCTAGTTAGTGCTAACCAGAAACATTATGTAGTCTGCGCAAAGTTTCAGTAAACGGTTACCGTTATCTGACTTGTGACTAACAAGTCCCCATCGGCCACCTAAATGAGTCTCTTCTGTGCCTAGATGCGCGATCTGAGCATCCAAGTCTCCGGCTAGTACTACAATATCTGTAGAAGAACAGTTAACTGGTGATAAAACTGATGCTTTAACACATCCGGGCTGTAATCTGTCGTAGAGCAGGCGGAGATGATGGAAAGATATCGATTCTCACACCGATTTCTTCTCACATTGATCGAGCTTTCTAATCTAACAGCATATAACCGACTGCTGATGGGGATCCCGTCGATCAGTGCCTCCTCAGCTCTAGCGCTTAGTGCGACAACAACGCTAACAAAACCAGACAATCCCACAGGGTTACCGGATGAATGCATGGGAAAGAAGCTTTTCGAAGCGAAAAATGGAGAGCGAATTTATAGTGCATCACCGGAGTCTTGAATATGGGTCTCGGATAGACAACAGACGTCGATATCAAGGCTTTCTAAAGACATAGCAAACCCTATCTGTTGTCCGATTCACATTAGTGTGCAAACATTTGAAGGAAATCTGTTTGAATGGTATACGTGGTTTCAGAAAGACTGTTTCAGTATTCGTATTTAGTGGTAGCATTCAAATTTGGACTAGTCAGTGGCTCGAGATCGTTTAGATACAACAGGGTTTCCACCATAGGTGGATTGCTGTATAACTTGAAAAACGAGGGTACGCAAAGTGAGAATGGGAGAGAGTAGATGAGTGACGTAGTACAAAAGAAAATTAGAACGAATTTTACCAAATGAATATGAATATGATTTATCTAAAGTAAGAGTTATTTTTCCAGTATCAGTTACTATTTGATTTGTCTGTGAGTTGAGACACTGTCCGAGTGCCCAAAGTGAGGCAAGTGATTTTCTTAGGCAGCCATGCCCTGAGCCTTTGATCTCAAGGTTTGGTCCATAAGGCAGTGGAGAAACGTTAAGAGATGCAGTCCCATGATGGTCAGTGACCAACAGTAGGTTCATATGCCATTTGTTATCTCACAATCCTGGAACCCATGTACACCATTGATTTGGAATCAGAATTTTCCGACTCCCCTAGATGGATTTTCTGTGTCCATCAACCCAGTCAAATCGCCAGACATTCACTTTTCCTTCAGTCAATTTCGCAAACAACAACACCGAGCGAAGGCTGTGAGTATGACTTCCCTGGCAGTTACTGTAGGCGCGAGGCCATACTAGGGCATTTCGAGATGGAAAGCAGGTTTTCCCAATCCTCGGCCACACCAGGGCATTTCAGGGCCACATGAGAATCACTAAACTTTCCAAGAATAGTGAGAAACCTCATTAATCCAAGTTGCAAATGCTTCGGACTACCCAGCTGCTAATATTTTGGTCAAGATTTGGTCATTTTTAGCAGGAGTATGTACATTCCGTGTAGCCATAATAATATATGTTTACAAAGAATAGATGGGATATGGCTAGCAATAGGATTCAGAATAAGCGTTTCATCCTATTTAAGGCTCTTCATATGTGGAGCAGGTTATAAATGTTGCACAAAGCGAGCTCTTTCAAAATCAATCTCCAAACATTACCCTATCTGACTCTCCGAAGGATCACAGAAGTCATTCAAAAGCTCAATCTTAGAGCTTCACCAGAAGCCTTCTTCAAAATCATGTATATAGTCAGAAAGGTTGGCTCAATAGGAATGTAAATGAAAAACTTATGTGTAGCATAAGCCAAACCTTTGCGTATAAAAATGGTATTTTCAGTCCCTCATTTTTCCGTCGACTTAACCATCCTTCCAATCTTCCATAACTCATCTTTTTTTATTTGTTTTATCATTTCTAATCCTTTCCAATAATTTTCACAATTATTAACATTCGTATTGATTTCAACATCTTTACATGAAAACCAAATAAGAGATATGACTACATTTTATGTTTAAACCGGAGAAAGATTAACTTCCATTAAAGAAAATAGTAGCAAATTCGATATGTTTCCCGTTTGTTCCAGACTTTGTATTGACTTCTAGACAACTACGGTAATTCTAAAGCTTGTAGCTAATATTTCAAACCAACTGTCAAAGAGGACAATCATTTCCTTAATTCGAAAATCTTACTTCACAAAATCGGATCAAATAAGATACACTCTAAATCTCACATTTGTTTCTGAACACGAAGAAGCAAATTTTTATAAACCGTTGATTTCCAGTAATCTCTCGGTGTTTAAGTCATCCTAATGTCTATATTAAAAATCAACTGTTTGTAACATAGTTAAATTAATTTTTATATGAACATTATACGTGTATACATATCTTTGTACTGACTGGTTTCATGAAACTTTTTTAATTGCTCTTATCCCTTCCTTATATGATTATGAATGGAACATTTTTAAAGCAATAACCATTTTATCCTAGTATAGAACTTTTCAGTAGTGGAGTAAGACCATGTTCATTACGAGACAGTTAACAACCATAGCCAGTAGAATATGGTCGCGAACTATAGTTTGGATTTGCGTGTGAGACTGGAGCTCTTGAATTCGATTCCCACATGAAGGGTTATGGATGTACATTTCTAAGAAGGCCTACACTAGGATGGAACGGCTAATCCTTATTCTCACTGAAAGTTATGATTGTTAATTCCTAATTTCATTATATAAAATTAAATTTAACTATGAAGTTTGAATTATATCCATCATATTTATTCCATGTTTAAATTGCACATATTTTTTTTAAATAACCTTATAGATAGTCGTTTAGTACGTTTCCAATTAGCACAAGGTGATATACATGAAAATGATCCTGCGCACAATATACCAATATCATCTAGAAATGAATATCAAACATTAACATCATTTCATCGTGGTGATGATGATAGACAATTGAATAAAACTTCACCATTATTTTGTAGTTGGATAAAATCTGATCAACATCAACCGATTGAATCATTCCTAAATCCATATGATCAATTAAATTGTAAAACACAATTGAAATCATCCAAACCAAACAATATTAATAATAATAGTAATAGTGGGAAACAAAATCATACTATTACAACCAATAATAATAATAATAGTGGTGGTGGTGGTGGTGGTAGTGGTGGTGGTGGTGGTGGTGGTGGTGGTGGTGGTGGTGGTGGTGGTGGTGGTGGTGGTGGTGGTAATAGCAACAATAATAATAATAATAATAATAATAACAATGGTAACATTCATACTATATTCCCAGATTTTTTTCAATTACAACCATTGACACATTCACAATTAACTGATAATCACAAAACACCATCATGTGAGAATTTATGTCCATCGGATGATTTTTACATGTCAACAATCAAATCCAATAAAAAGTCTATTAACAATACTGATAACATATTCGGTAACAGTAATCATAATCATAATAAACTAATGCCTACATTGAATAAATGTAATTTATTAAATAATAATCATTCATTAACAAATTATCCAACAACAATTGAATGTACACATAATATATCAAATGATTTGAATAAATCACCCAATAAATTAATGGAAGGGGAGAAAAAAATAAAAACAACACGTCAATCGAAAATGGTTACATTGATTTCACCAAAAAAGGATTCATCAGTAATCATTAACAATAATAATAATAATAATAGTAATGATACGAATGAAATGCATAACTTATATGATGATAATAATAAAAAAAGTAATACTAATGTAAATAAATCTTTAAATGCTGAAGGTAGTTTTGTGTAATGTCATAGTAACAAAATTATAATGATTACATTTAGATTTAATCATTCTCTCTTTCTTTATATATATATGGATAAATATAAACATAAAATTATGTAATTAGAAATGCAATTTTTGAAACGAAAAAAAAAGGCATTTTTTTCTCTTCATTTCACTTCTCCACCCTACCCCCCTCACACACCAATTTATACACCTATTGCATTTAGCTCATCGTCCCTCTATTTTTTTCTCTTTTTTTAAAAATGAAATCGATTTAAATTTACACACCTCACCGATTCAATGTCCGATGCGTAAAATTTTAAAATTACTTCTCAGTTGTTACTATATATATATATATTGAGTAAAATGATTACAGAAAAATAATAAAAGAGATTCCATCTTAAAAGTAGACATTTCAATAATTCCATTATGTAATTATTTACTGGATAGAAATCAGAAGTGTTATTTATTATTGTATTGTATTGTATTGATGAAATTACCAATATAGGGAAGTACCGTACAATGCTGGTCTATGCTTCATTTGGGGGTAACAAGCCTAGGTAAAGTAATATATACATACGTTTTTCTTACTTTTATTATTTGTACAGTTATAAAAAACACAAACATTTATTTCTTTAACAAGACAACATTATCCCGAAATCATTTTCTTTTTGTAAAACCTTCAGAACTGTTCTAGTAATCTATTCAGACATTTCAATGCTCATCTTGAATATTTTTTACAAGAACTCATTCATAAAGACATATATTTATTTTTAAAAATATCATGAACGAATCAACAACAACGACAACAAAAATCCCAGATGATCTATGAAAACTTTTAATTCTTATATAGAATGATTCGTTTGTACTATTTAAACTTGAATTCATTTTGATTTGGTTATTTATTCTTTGAAGAAGTGGCTTACATTGAGTTACGAAACATTAGAAAATTGAAATTTCTTCTTTTTATTCATTTGGAATATTACAAATATATATTACTTAATTAGTTTCTTTATTGCATTTATAACTTGCATCGTTAACCCTATTGTTATTATTATTATTATTGCTATGTTTAATCAACACTTGAACATATATAATGTTACTAACTATGTTACATTATGACGTCGTCATTAAGATCTGAAGTATTACTGAATATTGTATATATTGTTTATTAATAAGATATGAGTAAAGTTGTTTTCTTTTTCCTTTTTTATTTGTAAATAAAATGTAAATTGATTGTATTTCAATAAAGTAATTACATGTCTTATATATTGGTTACTTGGTTACATAAGTGAATCACTAAGCAAAATTGTTTTATACAATGAAACATTATTCAGTGAATTTTATTATTGGTGAGATCCAGAAAACTCCTTGAAATAAGAAACAACCAAGAAAGTCTTTGAAAACACTGAAAAGCATCTTATCTAATTAGCGTTCACTAGAAGTTTTGCCAGAAACATACTTACTTACTGATGCCCGTTACTTCTCATGGAGGAGCATAAGCTGACCACCGGCACTCGCTATACAACTCTGTCCCAAGCAATCCTTCCCGACTCTTTCCAGTTATTATTCATCTTTTTCATATCTGATTCTATTTCGCGACGTAATGTGTTTTTTAGCCTTTCTGTTTTCCACTTCCCTTCAGGATTCCAAGTTAGTGCTTGCTTCGTGATGCAGTTTGGTGATTTGCGTAATGTATGTCCTATCCATTTCCATCGTCTTTTTCTAATTTTCTCTTCAGCTGAAAGCTGGTTTGTTCTCACTGAAAAAAGAATGTTGCTGATGGTATTTGGCCAATCAATGTTGAGTATCTTGCGAACAACATCGGTAGGTACTATTAATATGGTGGAAATTAAAACTATGGATTATACAAATTAGTCTAAATCTACTATGTAGAGTATAATAAATAAGTTTGTTGAAACTATATATCTACACTTTAAATTTGGTGCTTTCAGTATAATAGAAATATTTGTATACTGGCAGAACAAAGCATTCTTACACGTCAAACTTTTAATATTGAAAATTTTAGAATAAATTATAAGCAAGGATGGATAGTGGTTAGCAGTGGAATTCAGGACGCACGTTCCGTCCATTTGATACTCGTCAGCTAGGTGTACACGCATCTCAAAGTTGATGTTCACTCTGGGACTCGAACCCAGCACTGTTTGCTTAAATTATCATCGCACATATGCCAATATGAGACTGGTCATTTGTAATCCTAAATACCAATGGAGAGATACAAGCAAACAACATTAAGTTAATCTAAGATAAATTAGTTTTTAACTATTCACTATTGATATTCATGTTAACTTAATACTGACGTTTTCTTGAAAGTTTATTTTTACAACGATCATAAATATTACTATTCGAGGCCCTGAGTGAATACCAACTCTGGGATTTAGGTATATTCAGATGACAAGTCCCAAATAGAATGAAACGCGCGTATTGGATTCCACTGCTAACCACCAGCCATCTTTGTCTATAATGCTTATAACTTAAGGTAATATTGAGGCAATACGCACAGTTTATATATAAGAGACTAATCAATTTTAGTCCTAAATAACAATGAGAAGATTCAAGTAAACAATAGCAAGTGAATTTATTATGCTTTTTGTTTGAACATTACAAGAAATTGACATTTTTATATCAACCTAATACATTTTTCCATGAACTTTAGAAAATTGTAGTCTGTTGACACAGTTTATTAAAAAAGATTATCAGTTAAGAAATACATATGTGTAATACAAATTCATCTTAGGAGGTTACAAGTTGTTACTTCCTTGGTCAGTCTACCTAATAAAATACAGGAGAGAAGTTATCTCGATCTACATTAAAGCCTTGACACGATAGACTAACTGACTTAACCTTGAGACTAGAGTATGTGAGTCCGAATTGACACTAACTACCTTCGTTAAAGAAATGTAAACTATTCTATCACTTGATTGATTGACAAGAGAAAAAAGACCAGTCAAATGGAACGTTACTCGATTTATTCCGGCTTCTGATCCCCAATTCCGATTCAGAATAAACACATCAATAAATAGATGACATAACGTAATCACAACGTACAAGCAGTTGTAAAAACACAGTTATGACCAAACTGGGCATTAGGGTAGAAAAATAGAGTACCAAAGTCATTATATGTGAAAGTTATATTTGAAATAATGTCAGCGATCTAAACATAAAATAATTCCAACGTTTCGTCCAACAAATTTGTCTGAACTACTTCAGAGTAATAATCAAAATCAAAATCATCAAACAAACGAATAAAAACAGCCTGAACCATTAGGATGGTACTCAACTAGAAACTACTTGACAAATATTCGTTGACAAGTAATTAGACCCTTGCTTTATTCAACCCGATTATTTCACATGCATCGTTATTTTAAGGGAAATTAATGTGAGTTATTTTTGCCCAATACCAATTATGTATTTGATGATTCTTACTTACTATGTACATCGATGATTCAGAAACAATTTTCTTCAACCTTCAACTTGTACGTTTATTTTTCCCTTATATAAAAATATATTAACACCAAAAATAACACAGAATAACTCAATCTTACACAAACATACACATACACACACACAGTTCGTTCAGTCATTTATTTTCACATCGTGAACTTATCACATGATTCGCATTTAACTGACTCATGTTGTCCCATTTATTCAAGTCAACATCCAAATATGATCGGATCAGTACAGCGTAGATTTGATTGTTAAACTCTATATAAGTCCTGATAGGTCCTGTGTTCGAATCTCGCGAGGCAGGATCTTGGATGCGCACTGCTATAGACTCCCATACTAAAACGAAACGCCAGTCCAGTGCTGCCAGATTTTCCATGGTAGTCTAGCTTCAACTGACTCATGATCTAAACTATTAAAATCGCTATATATTTCTTTGATTATTTTTATTTTCATTCTTACCCTGAAGAAGTCCAGACAAGTTTGCTGGACGAAACGTTGGAATTATTTTTAAATTTCAATCGTTCAGATTATTTCAGAATATAATTTTGCACATATAATGACTTCTCTATACTCGGTGCCTAATTTGTATCAAACTATTCGTTCTAATCTTGACGAATATTCATATAGAGTACCAAAAGGTTACTTTTAAATTACAATAACTTTGGAACAGAAAAGGATATAGTATTAAATCATACATCAAACGAAAGCTTATAGTTTGTGGGATAAACTAGGAACAAAACTAAATTCTAATATTTAAGAAAGCTAATAATTCAACGAAATAACTTCCTTAAAAATAACTTCCGTTGTGTTGTTATTAGCTTCTTTATTTCACTGTTCACATTAAAATGTCTCAATTTTCAGCCATGATTATCGAATACATTTTACAAAGTACACACATATATTTCATAGTCCTAACAAATAACCAACTTTAAGAAAAAAAAACAAAAAATTAAATGAAAATGGTACAGCTTATATCATTACTGATATTCTTAATACCAATGTCATTTGTGTGGTCTTTATGTAAGATGAAAACGTCTAAAGAACAAAAAGAATCAGGATATTTCTCTGTTTATAAAGTACATGGATACAGTTTCTGTTACAAAGTTAAGGCAACAAAAACAATGTAATTTATAATTTCAATGACATTTAATATAAAATGATCAAGTATTACACATAACTTCATTAAACGTAACTTAATCTGGAGTGTTTTACTTCTAAAAACATTAACATTTATTAGTGAAAAATCATTTGAATCTTCACATTGATATTTTAAACCGTAATTGATCAGTCTCTTATTAGCATATGTACATACATACTGTGTGTATTGCCTTGATATTGCCTGAAATCACAAGTCAATCAGTAACAACGTGGAATTTCGTACGTACATACATCAGTTCGAGTTGCCATACCACATTAGCACAGAGATACAATTGTTGATTCAAATTCCGTAGTGGTAGAGGTAGTTAAAGTATAAGCAGTAATTGAAAAGATTAGGGTTTGAAGGAGTTATTTAATGAGTACAATACAGTGAAATAAATTTGGAAAGAGGGAAGAAAAGGGACATGAAGAATTCACAAGTTTAGAATTTGGGAGAACACAAAGAGTGAATGCATCTGAGCCATTGCAAACGATTTTGAGCCATCTCATTCAGGCTCTCTAACCATCGGTTTCTATCGACTCATGAATCCCAACCAGGTAGTCTACGCCTAGCAACATGACTCAGTCCACTTGTCAGTCACTTCATGGATAGTGGCTAGAAGTGGAATCCAGGACGCACGTTTCGTCCTATTTCGGACTAGTTAGCTGAATGTACCTGCATCTCAGTGTTGATGTTCATTCTGGGACTCAAACCCAGCCACTATCCATATTTGCTTATCATGCTTGTGAATTAAGACAATATCGAGGCAATGCGCACAGTATTTATATATGCCAATAAGAGACTAATAAATTTTAATCCTAAATAAAAATGGGAAGATTCAAGTAAACAATACCAAGTGAATTTAAACTTCACTTCATTGCACAAGCAAGCGTTCATCAGGACTCAGTAGCTAAGTGGATAACACGATGGCTTTTGAAGTATACGTTACTGGTTCCGAGTCCCAGAGTGAACATCAACTCTGAGATACAGGTACATCCAGCTGGCGAGTCCTAAATAGGACGAAACGCGCGTCCTGGATTCCACTGCTAGCCATATTTGATTAGAATTTTTCTCATAGTTAATTAGAAGCACAAATAATATTTCATGTTTATGAAACAAATGAATTTTACGGGTTGAATCCCTGAATCTAACAGTTAACATTCAAAATTGATAGACACTCAGATTTAAGTCTCATTCAATTTTGTAAATGTACAATAACAATCTATTTCCTCCTTTCCTATTAAAACTCGTCAAATGAATATTGTTTACTTTGGTTCAGGTTATACTAAATTCCAGAGAATTCAATCTAAGAATTTTCATTGAAAAAAAATATCGTGTTGAAATAAATATGCTTTGAAGTTTAAATCACGAACTGCTCTTAGTTAGACCACCATTAAAAAACTGGAAGTACTGGATAGATATTTCATCCTGGTATAGGATTTCTCTACAGTGAATTGATGCTAGACATTAGTACTGTTGGATACTGGTCCACTAGTCTAGATATTAAGCGTTTGCAAGAAAGATTAAAAATTCTGGGTTCCATAGCAAAGTGAGTGAACCTCATGCATTTACTTCATATCAGTAACATAATGGCAAGAATATTTCATAAAATCGTAAAGCTGATTTTATTAAAATATATATTGAGTTCATGACCATCACAA